AAGAAAAGTAACCTAGTCTATCACATACCATGTGATGATAGCAAAGCCAAGTGTATGGGTCAAAGCAGACAATCTGCGTCACACAAAATAATAAAACATACTATGGTAGACCCTACCAAAATAAGTAATTCACAAGGAAGCTAGAACATTTCCTTCACATGCAATGATCCAAAGTCACATTATAGGGTGGGTTAGGTTGATAACTCTAAAGAGAGATTCACTTCAGAATCTTTGCTGACTGAATCCACACGTGACACATATCCGGAGTGGATCATCATATAGTAGAAATGATATACGCTTTCAACGAACAAAAATTCTGTCATCAGTCTCTCTCTCTCTCCTGGTGGAGAGAGAGAGAGAGTATAATGAGGTTATTGGTCACTAACTGCAGAGCAATAGCCGAGTTGTTCTCTTAACTATTTACTAGAATCTGCTATCACGTCTTTGGCTAAATTCTTTTTATAGTTTGCTAATTTGAGTGAATCAGATCGAGTGGTTGTGGACTGCTGCTGTCCAATGTTCCCATGCTTACAATGCTCCTCCAATTGATGTCAGTCCATGATGAATGCCAACTTCAAATCAATAAATCAATCAATACCTACAAACCCCAAAATTGAAACTGTTAAAGTTATTCTGTTTACACAAGCAAAGATGACCAATACTCTGCTCTACATGAGAGATGATTATAACATTCAAATGATTATATAAACGTATGGAAAGTTACCGAGATCAACACGATAAGGGATTTAGGGTCAAGCCAATCATATCGTTAGTGTAGCTAAGAGAGACAGACAGAGAGCGAGAGATGTGAACAATTTGCAGACTGTACGGTCAATGTTAAGATTTCTTACAGGTGAGTAGTTTTCCTGCTGTCCAATTGTGATGTGATCGGTTTCCACTGGAAACCACTCCTCAGTTAAGATCACTAGATGGGGTATCTGACGTAGAAGTGTCATGAACTATGGAGAAAGACTACCAATAAATAACTTGAGTGGTTAGAAACTAATTACTCTGATCTCTAGTATTCTACTAACCAATCACATCAAAGTGATGTAAACACCGAATGTCTGTTTCTCTCTTTTCAGCACCGAGCTGATCAACAGTGCACCAGGGGGAATTCAGCTCACACAGCCAAATTCAAATATGAACAAATTTTCTGCACTCAAAACACAACACTAAGCAGTTGATGAGAACCTCTTTGTGAATACAGTGATTAGATCGGATTCCTCCAAGTTTACCGGTTTCCACAAGTCTGATTGAGGGTGAAGTGGTTTGATTTCTAAAGACTTCGGTCCGTTCTATTTAATGTCCCCAATGCAATGCATAAATTCCCTGAAGAGAATGTTCTGCAAGATTGTAGGAACATTGCTTCTCCAGAAAATTATACGCATCTGATGACAACCTATGAAACACATTTCCTACAAATTCTGTTTCATTGTGTCACTCATGTACAAAGTGTGAACAAAAATGACGGAAAAGATTAATGTTTATATCAGTACACCTTGTCGTGTACATGAGTTCACGTGATTATCTATCATGTTAATTGTTATTACGTTTATACCATGTGTGAATAGAATCAATTGAACACAGAATAATTGAACAACATACAATATTGATGATGGAAATAATATAATGGAAGGTTGTACAAAGTGTCACATGATCATTCTTGAGTATTTCAACGAAGAAGTGATGAACATATATGACGTGTACAACTTAACGAAAGCTCGAGCCATTATTTATCGACTCCACAACAGAATAGCTTGACAACTCCTGAGATGAGCAATTAAAGCTGTGTATTTTATGAACAACTAAGTCCAAAATACTGAGACCTGATTGGTTGTTTCAGCAGCTGTCACAGAAAGTCACTCTAGCAACAACTAGAATAACCAGTTAGGTTTCTTTTCTTGATGAAAAACTGTTGGTTATTCTGTGGTTGCCTCAGTGGCCTTTTAAATGATGAAACCTGATGACAACTGTGCATGGTTCTGCAGACGTTGACCAGCTTACCATTTCTTTTAACCAATGAAAAGAGTTGTCGAAGAACTATACAGTCTTGATGACTACGCAATCGAAGCAGTAGGGAAGTGATTCATTTTTTGACTCAGTCATCAATCTCTTTCTAGCTTGATCAAGAGCAGATGTAGGCTCACACCACTCACTGTCTGGTGCAACCAACCTACCTTCCAAATCAAGTTCAAAGCCTTCACAGAAGTCGGTGATAGACCACACTTCAAGTACAACACTCGGAAACTGAAGCATGAAACTACAAAAAACATCTTCACATCAGACAGTTATCAGGAAAAAGTGGGAGATATCGAGCAACATCCCTGAACAAACCTGTGTGGATGAACACTGGACAAAGAAGTGAAGAAGAGTGCTCGCAAAGGCGAAAGACACTCCCACAACACACTGGCAAGTGAATCAGAACAGGCTGCAGGTGGAAGAGACAGAGACCTGACAACATTGTATCAAATAACCAGGTTACTACCTACCAGAGAAGAGATCAACGCAGCACAGATGAAACCAATGAAAGATGATGAAGGAAATATAATTACGAAAGAAGAGAAACAAAGGAAACGATGGGTCGACCACTTCGAGAAGCTCTTGAATCGACCACCACCACCATCATTACCACCATCGCCACCTGCACTTCGTCGAGAAATACCACCTGCAGCCCGACCACTGAACTACAAGTGTACACAAGCCCTCCGACAAAAGTGGAAGTCCTGAACGCCATAAAGCTACTGAAATGTGGGAAAGCAGCAGGACCAGATGGCGGAATTCCGCCACAAGCACTGAGAACAGACGCAGGGACAAAAGCGGATATGCTCACACCACACCACTACCCCAGAACGTCTGGAAGGAAGGGAAGGTACCTGCACATTGATTGGAAGAACAGCTACCTTATCAAACTCCCCAACAAGGGAGATCTAAGTCTTTGCAACAACTGGCGCCGAATCACGCTCCCGTCCCCGTCCCTGGCCACCAAAACCAAGCAAAATATTAGGCCACATCAAAGTGGAGAGACTAAACGATGCACTGGATTCAAAACTACGACCCGAACAGGAAGGCTTCAGGAAGTACAAATCATGTGCAGACCGAATTGCAACACAACACACACCACACATCATCATACAACAGAGTACTGAATGCCAGTCAACTCAACTCACTACCTCAACTTCATCAACTTCGAAAAGACCTTCGACAACATCGACCAACAAGTAATTTGGCAGGCAACTGCTTCAACACTACGGAATACCACAAACACTTATCAGCCTCATTCAACAGCTATATGAAGACGCCACATACCAGTCAAGTAATTCACAATGGAATACACAGTGATGCTTTTGAAGTGAAGATAGGAGTAAGGCAAGGCTGTCTACTATCAACCATGATATTCTTGGTTGTGGTCGACTGGACTGGATCATGCAGAAAACAGTGGGGAGCTGTGAGAAGAGGGGGATACAATGACTGGACCACAGAAAAGAACCTAGAAGACTTGGATTTCGCCAATGATGACTTGTGTCTGATGTCACACAAACTGGAAGATCTACAGGCAGAAACTAACAAGTTGGCAGAAGAGGCGAGGCAGTGAAGACGCGACTTCAAGTGAATATAGAGAAGACAGAGGTGGAGGTGATGAAGATACCCAACCAACACCACCACCACCAACAACAACAACAACAACAACAAACTCCAATCACCATCAATGGGAGAAACCAGTGTGGAGATCTTCTGCACTCCACTCAGCATGTGGAATAAGATCTGGATTTTCAACACCAACCCAGTCAAGTCAGTGCTTCCATGTGATGGTTCAGAGAATTGGCGAGATACGAAAGGCATTTCCAGCAAAGAACTGCAGACATCAACAACTGCCGCCTACACTGGCTCGATTCTGAAGATCAGATGGACTACCAGAAAGAATAAGCAACAAGGAACTCACTCTGGCTGGCTGGCTGGCTGGCTAGCTGGCTGGCTGGCTGGCTGGCTGGCTGGCTGGCTGGCTGGCTGGCTGGCTGGCTGGCTGGCTGGCTGGCTGGCTGGCTGGCTGGCTGGCTGGCTGGCTGGCTGGCTGGCTGGCTGGCTGGCTGGCTGGCTGGCTGGCTGGCTGGCTGGCTGGCTGGCTGGCTGGCTGGCTGGCTGGCTGGCTGGCTGGCTGGCTGGCTGGCTGGCTGGCTGGCTGGCTGGCTGGCTGGCTGGCTGGCTGGCTGGCTGGCTGGCTGGCTGGCTGGCTGGCTGGCTGGCTGGCTGGCTGGCTGGCTGGCTGGCTGGCTGGCTGGCTGGCTGGCTGGCTGGCTGGCTGGCTGGCTGGCTGGCTGGCTGGCTGGCTGGCTGGCTGGCTGGCTGGCTGGCTGGCTGGCTGGCTGGCTGGCTGGCTGGCTGGCTGGCTGGCTGGCTGGCTGGCTGGCTGGTGACGAACCAACCAAGAAGCTATCGCTCAACAACTGAATGCAGTGGAAGGAAGTGGAGATGGATTGGAGTGGGTATACACTGAGAAGGCCGACTGGGGACATCACGCATCAGGCCAGGCCAGGCACTCGAGTGGAACCCAGATGGGGAGCGACGAGTTGGGCGTCTGAGTTGAGGGTGAAATGGAGGAGATGGTGTGAGGAGGAAATGAGAGTTTGTGGGCTGTCGTGGAGCCAGGTTGAAAAGCTTTCAGAGAAGAGAGTGGAATGGCGACGTGCTACTGAAGCGGTATGCTCCGTTAGGAACCCAATATTGAAACTGGAAAACTATGGAAGTTAAACACCATCGTATCCTGGGTTACTTTCTTCAATCGAAAATTGAGTCGTCTTCTTCAGTTCATGGTGAGTGACGAATTCACTTCTGCCTGCTAATAGCATATTCTTTTAGTCCCTGTTTCAGTTCAATACAACTGCTGAGCATAATTGTCTATAATTTCCCCATTACTAATAATACTACTACTAACGTTACTATTATTATCATTATAAATCTTACAAATATTAATAATATTCCTGTTATTATTAGTATCATTATTACAATGATGATAACGATGATGATGATGATGATGATGACGATGATGATGATGATGACGATGATGATGATGATGATGATGATGATGATGATGATGATGATGATGATGATGATGATGATGATGATGATGATGATGATGATGATGATGATGATGATGATGATGATGATGATGATGATGATGATGATGATGACACAGATATTGTACAACATGTGTAGCGAAAATGCAATACATAAAATAGCATAACGAGCATATGACGATATAAAACCTGTTGAAGTGGACAGGTTAGTCAGGAAACATTAGGAATTCGATGATTAGAATTGGTATCCAATGCGGTAGGTTGAAAAGGACGCATTCATTAGTTTTCGGTAGTGGAAGGCAAGGGTAGCTGCAGCATGACCGCCACTGGTTTCGATTCTGAACCATATCTTTTAACGTCTCAGGCCACTGACTTGAGTAATCTCTCAGACCCTACCCAGGGAGACTTGATGCACCAGCAGATGCTAACCCGATACAACTATCCTTCATCCCACGATGGCACATCAAATACTGACTACCCCTCCACTTCTTCCGTCCAGTCCCATGGCTAGTATACAATAAACGGTTTGAAAGCCGTTAAGACAGCATGCGTAACACATGTTGAAGCCGTTGAAGCTGGTGTTTCCACATGACTTCCCTCATCCAGAACCGCTGGCTGTCTTACCTCAGAATTACTTAAATGGTGGAGACAGCGATAGACTCGCCTGATATCCTCAGCTCGAAAAGGCCAGGTTTCAGAGGAGTAGAGTAGAACTGACCAGTCAGAATGAATTGGTTAGCCTAAATGTTGAGCGATTTCTAATAGGACATAGTACTGCAGCTAAATATTTCAATAACTCATCTGTTGGTATGTTTCTACAATCAGATACAGGTCTAATAGGATAATCTGTTTTATGAACCTTACTGGCGGCATACATTCTACTAGGATTATTAGTTGTAAGCCTTAAATTAAACCTTGTATTATCCCATTGTTGATGAGACCAAATTGATCGGTCTCTATTGGCCTATGGGCTCTTGCGTAGATGCCTCGTTACTGCCTGTTTACTTAATTATATAGTAGTGGTGGATAGTGGCTAGCCGAGGAACCAAGGATGCGCGTTTTGTGCTATTTGGGACTCGTCAGCTGGATCTACCTGCACCCCAGTGAGTAATGTTGTTCCCACGGAGACTCAAACTCATGGCTAGGTGGTCTAGTGGATAACGGTCTGGCGTTTGAAAGGATCGGTCCTCAGTGCGAGTTCCGGTGGGAAGATAACCACTCACTAGGAGCCACATGCATCCAGCTAACGAGTCTCAAATAGGACGAAACGCGCATCCTGGATTCTTCTCCTAGCCACTATCCATCACTAATTAAATTAGACAGCTGAGACTCACCTAAAGATGGTTTCTTTCAGCTTGTTAAATCAACTGTAAACTTCTTAATGTGGACAGACTTTCTGTTTCCCTCATATGAGGCCTGTTTTGTTTATCCACTTGGATTTTGATGAAGTAATCCCCCATATCTATAACTACTGTCCAGTCACCTTTGTCAGTCTAAAAACTTCTGGTTTCGCTATGTTTTGGCTTGATTTATTTTTATACTTGGTAATAACTGAAGGTGAGATTGTCTTACTCACACTGACTACCAATCCAGTTAGCAGTTCTCATCCTAATGTAAATCTACACATCTGAAGCGATTTGTCAATGGTTCGAGTCTCAGTGGGTACAACATCACTGACTAGGAAACAGACGCATCTAGTTGACGAGTTACAAATAAGCGAGAAATGCGTTCTGGATTCCACTGGTAGCCTTTTGTCTATCATTAATATCAAAGGCGTAAACTTGGCTAGATTTATCTCAGTGAACATAATTATTGATCGATTTTAACCAGAATGAATGAATCATACCATTCAGTGGTGGTAAAAATTTTCTCCTCATTTGAACTCATGAGCTCAAGGTCATTTCAGTCAAAGTGTTCACAACCCTCTAGGTCAACCATTTTATCGATTTTGCATTATTATTACTATTATTATAATTATTATTATTATTGATTCGTTTATGATCATCATTTGATAGATTCTCACTCGTATTGATTGACCTTCAGTCAGTTTATAATCTGTGGTACTGATTTCATAACAGTTGGATGATGTAATAGGTCTGTATTAGTTAGAAATCTGTAATTTGAATATGACTTTTGTCATGAATTGACATCTACCAGTTAAACACTTTCAATAGTATGGAAATTTGATTACATTGGCATCCAGTGACTTACCACTAGAGAATCCAATGTCTCATCACTATTCAGCGAAATCATTGGGTATTCACTCCTACTCCCAAATTGATTGAATTCACATATCACATACCTTCTTGATTATTATTTGACTATCTGAGATAGCAATCGTAGTTTGACAGACTACCATTAATATTGGGTGATGATTGAGGGTGAAATGAAAATTTGCACCGCGACCGGACTCGAACCAGTGACCATCGAGTTTTCTGCTCAATGCTTTACCAACTGAGTTACGAAGTTCGACAGCTGGCCAAGAGTAGAGCATCAGGCCAGAAACCCGGTGGTTTCCAGTTCGAATCCGGCCGCGGTCCAAATATTCATTTCAATCTCAATCATCACCCAGTATATACACCTTCTTGTTTGAAATTGCTGGAAATTTATCTCAATACAACACTCATTAATGAATGGAGATTTATCAATTTCACTAAACTATAAGAGACTTTGTATCGTAGTGTATTTTGATTGATGTGAAGCGGTTTTGTACTTGTTGACACACTACTTAGAAATTCACAGTGTAAAATGATCGATTGATTTCAGGGAATAGTTATGACTAGACAGCATGAAGTTAGCTGCACTCCCTTGAGGGGCCATTACTTTCCTCAAGGTTGGAGATATGCCTTGCTAATGAGTGTCAACAAGCTTGAAATCTAAATGAATCAGACCTTCTTGTCATTCCCTTCCCAGACTTGCTAAAGTCATTTACATTGGCTTCATAAAAAAGGTGTTTACAGACTAAGCGAATGCCTACTCAGCGTTTTATTTCTTAACCTTCAATGATGTAAATACAGCCTTCACATAAGAGACTAGTATGAGACAAATGGTGTGATAAGAAATCAAGGAGCAGAGTATAGATTTTTCATCCTGATTCAGTACACCTCCTTTAACAATACACAATCTCAACTTTATAGTGAATTAAAAACGCTTAGCTTTCCAGTCGTCTAGTGAACCTATTACAGTTGAATTTAGACACTGAAGTAGGATACTTTGAATTCCTGAATTTCATTAAATTTGGTGAATATTCCTGTCTGTTTCTTCACCTGGTTTGCCTCAACTGTCCTGAATGCCTCCTTCAAAAGGCTGAAAGAGATCAGACAGGTAGAATTAAGAAGTGAAAAACTGTTAAGGTGTGACCGATATGCTTAATTAGATGATTCAAATAATAAGTCATTCCTCAGTTGCTTGACAGTTCGAACCCCACTCTCCTCTACAAAGGTCTAGGCAGTTAGGTGGTAAATATCATTAGCCCTTACACAAAACATTTGGCTCACACTCACGAGGTCCTTGTGGCTCAGTTGGTAGAGCATCCAGCTGGAAACCTGCAGTTCCCTTTTTTCAATCCTAATTTTCACTTCACCTTGAATAATTACCCAGTAGAAATACTAATCTGCGAAACCCCGGCTATCTCAGATAGTCAAAATAATAGTAAAAACTACGTTGGAGTCTTAGAATGGACACTGAGATGTGTTTTCACCAGAGTGATGAGTCATATGTAGACGAAACTCCCTTCCCGAATTCCTCAATTAACCACTATCAAGTACAGTCAAGTGACCAACATCAGTAGTGTTGAGTCATTCAGGCAGGGAACTCATGTGTGAACAGAAGCTGATCAACTCAACAACATAAATGACAGAGTAGGTTCAACCTACACAGAAAGTGTTGGCAACCTGAGTGGCTTACTGGATAACGCTTCAGTGTTTCAAGTAATGAGTATGGGTTTCGAGTCTCTACGGTGCAGCTACATTAACCTGATGAGTTGCAACTGGGACGAAAAAGGCGTAATCGATTTTACTGCTGGCCAGCAACTCAACCACTCATAAATCTAGACCTCATCTATCTGAATTATTCATATTTCCCTACGGCAGAAATAAAGACAAAGAGTTTTAATTATATAACAGTGACTGATCGAATTGCTCTGGGAAGATGAGTGATCTTTTACTTCATCCGATGTAAGTTACCTCTTCGTTAAATGACTCTTCAGAAACAAAACATAGAATTTGACGAAATCATACAGTGACTTACATTATTATATTCCTGAATATAACAAGCAGAACCATGCTCCTGTCTACACCAAGCACCACATCATACTGGAGACACTAAACAATGAACTGGATTCAAAATTACTACCCGAATAGGCTGGCCGGCCGGCTAGATGGCTGGCTGGCTTCCTGGCTGCCCAACTGGCTTCACGAAGAACAATGCATGTGCAGATCAAATCGCAATGCATAGCAACGCTACACATCATCATAGAACAAACTGCTGAATCGCACTCAATTCAACTCACTACCTCAACTTCATCGATTTCAAAAAGGCATTCGATAGAGTCGAACAAGTAGTAATTTGGCAGGCAGCTACTTCAACACTACGTTTTCAGTAACACAAAACTTTATCAACCTCAATCAACAGCAACTGTATGCCATATGATGATGGTGATGATGATGCTACATGACAAGTGATTCACAATGGAAAGCTGAGTGACACCTTTGAAGTGAAGACAGGAGACAGGAATAAGACAAGGTTGCCGCCTACTATCACCAATCATCTTCCTGATTGTGGTCGATTGGACTAGACTGGATGATGCAAGAAACTGTGAGGAGGTGTGAGAGAGTGGGGATACGCTGACTGGATGGATGAGAAGACACCAGAGGAAGATTTGCATTTCACCGCCACCGATGATGATGATGATGATTCATGTCTAATATCTTGTCCCACAAACTCGAAGATCTACAGACACAAACCAACAAGTTGAGAGCAGAGATGGCGAAACCAGATTTCACGTGAATGTAGAGAAGACGGATGTGATGAAGATACTCAACCAGTAGCAGCAGCAGCAATAATAACAAGCACGAATCACGATGAAGGGGAGAAATCTCAGGGAAGTAGTCTCTCTCACCTACCTAGGTGAGGCAGCATCATTTCAACTACAGGTGGCTACGGTG